CTCTGTGAAGAATTTCTTCCTGACATCTAATCTAAACCTCCCTGATTTCAATTTATACCCATTACCCCTTGTCCTATCACTACAGACTCTTGTAAAAAGTCCTCTCCCAGCACCCTTGTAGGCCCCCTTCAGATACTGGAAAGCTGCAATGAGGTCTCCTCAGAGCCTCCTCTTCTCCAGGCTGAACAAGCCCAGTTCTCGCAGCCTTTCGTCACAGCAGAGGTGCTCCAGCCCTCTGATCATCTTCGTGGCCTCCTCTGGACTCGCTCCAAGTGGTCAATATCCTTCTGATATTGAGGGCTCCAGAGCTGGACGCAGTACTCAGCAATGATCAACAAGCTGTGCGACAGCAAAAGCAGTGCTGATCCACCACCAGAACAGGGCACTTCCTCCGTTTCAGCCCAATTTGCTGAAAAGAATCAGTCCCTCTTCCCCTCTGAAGTGCACCTCCACTGCGAGAGTCCTGTGCAGAAACCCTGAAGCCACCTCCACCATCAGAGGTGCTCCTGGGTGAGCTACGAGGTGCGCCGATGGTCTGCACGTGGCAGCAGTCCTGGGACTTGGCCCTTCTGCATTACCGCTCTCCTTCCCAGGGGCTGTTTGAGAAGAGACTTCAAGGATCCCAGTCCCAACCTGCTCTGAATAAGGAGACTAAAACTGATGCCCTAGCTTACCCGCCATAAAGGATCCAGCCATGCTATATACCCTCATCCTGCTGTTACGGGTTCCTGGATCAAACCTTCCCATCACGGAGCTCCTGCTCTCCTGCCGGCTCGTTCTCCGAGCTTTATCTCGCAGCCTGAAACCCCACTCCCGTCCTTGCACATGGGTGGCTTTTGGCACCAGATCACTGGTTAATTGATACTTTTACCCTTGTACCCCCGTATATTTCCAGCAGGGCTCTCCATAAACCACAAGATTAGTGAGGAGCAATAAATCAGCAGAGCTCAGAAACCCCCACAAGGCTCCAAGTGACTGAAACCTCTGGACAAAAGCATTTTTACAAGGGACTCTCTTCAAGTAAGGTCGGCAAAGGTATTTGATATGGGAGCAGTCAAGGGTATTTGCTTTCCAGTGTTGCATGGTAGCAGCATGTGGGACTGCTCGGGGCAGGGGGAGGCTAGCTACAATGGTCCCAGAGCTCAAGATCTGCCTCCATCGAACAGAGGAAAGACTTTTCAGGCTGTTTTTCTAATAATTAGGTAGGATCAGGAATAAGAGGACTGCTTTCCTTCCAGGATCAGCAGTAAGAAACTGTTTTTTTTTTTTGTAGAGTGAACCAGTGGGTGGTTATTAAAGAAGCAGCTGACATTGGTTGTTCAGGCCCACGTTTTCAAGTGTCGAGCACCTGAATGAGGGGATACATTTTCCAAAACGTTCAGCAGCCAGCAGCTGCGACCTGGCCGAAGGCTCAGCACACGCTTATTTTTGGTGCTCACGTCAGGACGCTTATTTACTGAGGGCACTTCTGAAACCGCTGTTCTGCTTCTGTGCAAGTAGCGGTTTGCAACCGCCAAGTCGCTTCGAGCTCCAGGTGGTGAACAGATTTGCGAGGCTGTTGACACCAAGCGTCTTATATTTGTTTATCATTTGTGATTGTAAGAGAAGCCTTTGCTTATGGCTTGACACTGACAGTTGCGACAGTGCTTTTAGAAACCGTCGTAAATAGTGAAAGCATCTGCTGATGTTCAGCCCAGCGTGTACAAGACTTCTCAGCTTTCTGCCCTCAGCCTGACGAGGACACAGGATGGTTAGGGTGTAGCGTAAGGACAGCATTTAGAGAAAGACGTGGGGTTCAAGGCTGTAGGTATTTTCCAGGGGGAAAGCTGTTGGCCAGAAAGGGGGTAATACTTTAGCAGCTAACTCTCCTTGCAGACAGAGTAAACCAGAAATAGGTAGCCTCTGCATTGCACTAGCTAGCTTCTACGAAGGAGAAAAGCCCAAGTGCAGTGTCGTGTTCTGGTTCTAGTTATCCCAGAGTTCAAAGGCAGCTGAAGTTGAGCCAGTCCACTGTCTCTAGGTACACTATTGACATGACTCCCCTCAAACCATCCATGCAGTTCTTACCCTGATAAAGCCTTGGCTTCCAAACACTATGAAATCTGAGGCTAGATCTAAATTTCACATCCTCCAGAGTTCAAAGGTATTTCTAGACTGACATGGTATTGTAAGAATGGAATAATTTCTTAATCTTCAACAAATTAACTGCTGGCAAGCAGCTCTTGTCTGCTCAGCACTGTTGTGACATGCTCCGTCTCCCAAACCGGGAAGGAATGGAAATGAAGCGCTCTTCCTTTCCGTACCTGCCTTTCAGAACAGGGTCACCTGAACACATACTTTCCTGCGGTTGTCTGAGCACCTTTTCCAATCCCAACCCACTCGCTGGTCTTTTGTGCTTGACAAAAAGCAGCCCACGTAAGCCAGAAAACGAGGAATTAGTTTGCTACCTTAGCAACACACCTCAAGCGTTTGATTATTTCCGTCTAAAACAATCAAGAGGCAGCGCAGTCCAAGGGTGAAGCCACCGGTGGCTGAGGACTCAGGAGCTCACAATGCTCTTCATAGAGACAGTGGTCTCTTACTCTGTGGGTTTATACAGAAAAGTCCCAGTTGCATCTATCAGAATAGTCTTAATCACCCCGGAGTCTGGGGTACTCTCGGGCTCACTTTGCTGCTGAATACTTCTCAAATACTTGGGAAGCATGAGTATAACCCATACTTCATGCCACGCACAACTGAGGGAGCAGTGCTTCAGCAATAGTTTTCCTTTAGTTATTTTTTAAGCGTGTTGAATAGGCTCAATTGCAAGCAGCAAGAAAGCTCTGATTTCTGTCCATCTCCATAAAGCCAACATCTGGCCACTCGGTTGCTAAAACTAACCAAGAGCTAAAAATAAAAAGGACATTGGATCTGCAGCGTGTTTTCTAAGGACCTGAAAACATTTTGCTTCGCTATTTAAGTCAGGCCACGTTGGCAGGTGCTGCACAGGGAGTAACAGACCTGCCCCTTGCACAACGCACTGACCACACCGCCTTGAAATGAATCGGCTTACGCCACGCGGTCTAGAACCCTGGACTCCCATTTCCTAATTACACCGAAAATGTTTGTCCTAAAAATGCATCAGGAACTAATGC